AAACCAGTTTGATAACAATCCCCTAATCTAGGATAAATAAAAGTAAATCATTTGATATGTAAAGTAATCTAGATTGCAAGTACAATAATTAATCTACTGAAAACTTGATATGAATTGTATCTTTTAGAGATTTTACTGAATTTGTGAAGTTTTCCTATACATCTATTGTGCTATAAATTAGAGGTGATTGAAAATGCTGATTGAAAATGCTGTGATGATGACATATGAGTAAGAAATGATAGACATGATTTATATATAATATGATTAATGCCTTTACTATATATGCTATTATAGCTTTATCAGCTCTATTCAATCAAGAATTAATTCAGGAAACAAAGGCATGTTAGGCCCAAAAAAAAATTGTTTGTTTCTCGGGCCCCGTCGCATCTGCTTTTTGGTCCCGCATTACCCCTTTTTATTACCCCACCCCCAAAAAACCTGCACTTGAAATCTGACCAACAAAAATGGGACATAAATTCTATGAAAGTTCAAAAAATGCCAAAAGGCCAAAAAGTGAACTGATACATGTAGATCTCACCATTTTCCGTATTAAAACTAAATACCTTGACCAGAATCTATAATTAATATTCTTTGCTTGTAATTGTTTTTGTATTATTAGATATGCTTGACAACATTCCAATATTGTCTAGGGGCCTATGGTTGTTTGTATATTAATTAATTTATAAAATCAAATTTTGCATTGAATTTGAATTTGAACTGTTTATATAACTATAAGTATCTAAGCTTTTCTTTTTGATAATAATCATTGTTTCAAATAAGTATAGATATTGAACATGGACAATGTTTTGTTTGAAAATTTTTTGTTGTTGAATGAATTCGAAGTTTGTTTGTTGAATATACTGTAAAAAATCTTATAACTGTATGTATAATCTGAAACGTTTCCAATGACAGAGTTCAACTATTATTTTTGTTTGTTAATCATTAATAATTTTCTGCAATTTATAGGAGTGGCTGACTAGCTAGAAGACTATTGTCATTTCGCCCTCCATCACTTGTATTTATTTTGTTTCATGTTATACCTTTCTGCTGAATGTAATTTGTGTAAGTGTAAACAAATCAATAAAGTGTTTGAATAGGCATCTTATCAACAACTGCGATCTGTCTGTCTGTTCCGCAGCAAACCGATTTATAATTATAACGTGCACACCGATCCAGGTTTTTTTAAAGTAGAGAAAGGCACTAAAAGCCATCAGATAAAGCATAATGTTATGAATCGAAATTGCAAATTGTCTCTAAAATTAAATGTAATAAATAAGGGGAAAACCAGGTTTTAGAGTGTAATAAAGTCAAAACACTATCATATATTTACCATATTATTATTACTTTATTCATTGCATATATTTCATATACAAATACATGTAAACATTTATAACATATATACATTATATAATAAACATAAGTTGTAGCAATCAGTAATGTAACTCAATGCAGTGGAGAACGTGCCCTTCTCCACTGGGCGGGTTCAGAATAGCCTACAACCCGCACTGCCTAAAACAACAACCAGTGCTGTTTCAGACCCCCAGCTCTGGGTTGTAGCGTATATTATAGCCTGAGTGTAGCCCTGCTAACGCTCTGGTATTTGCGCCCTCCCTCCGTGTTACGGGCGCACGTGACTTCCGATCACTGATCTCTATAATATATCATATTATATATATATTATAT